TTCACTTGGTGTGTGCTAGGAATGCTTGGAGAAATTGTTACACAGTAGCATTACATTTGAATGTAATTATAGAGCATAACATTTCTCTCTCACAAGGTAGGAAGGTTATGTCCAGGTTCCTAATTATCTCTGTTACTCTCATGCATGTAGGCAGATCTTTCAGGAGATGATTCACGGTGTGGGAACAAGCCTGCCTCCAAGTCGGATCACATGAAGGGGCCACACGCTGTTTTATGTCAGTCTGTATTGCTATGGGCCCATACATGCGCTCAAGCAGCGCTAAACACAAGGCTGACAACGAAGGTGCAGGCTCATTACAAATTGTAGATCCTCCCCAGGTCACTCAATTTGGAGAAGACCTAAAGTATTTCACTGGCTATATAACTTTGTAGCAGCATTGCACAAGCGCTGATCCGAGAAGCCTCGAGGGAAAGAGTTTGGAAAAGGAATTAACTTTTTTAGGCACTCCTCCCTCCCTAAGACCCAGGCCCCAGCATGAAAACGAGCTCTCACTCATTTCTCAAATTAGTCACTCTTCACTGTCAGCATCTGCTTCTGATGCAAGCTTCTGCAGGCTCGGAACAAAGTGCCAGGCCCAGAAACAGAAGCCAAGTATCTTCTCCAGAAACAGGCATTTAAGTGTTTCATGCTGGGGCTTCTCATGTTCACAGTTTAAAAATAAGACAATGTTATTGTCAACATCTTCCATGTGAAGAGGTTATAAGAAGGAAATTACCAGCAAATTCCTGCTGACTACTTTGGAAATGGAGAACACTGTTGCTGCTATCATTTGTCCTAGCTCTTACTAAGTAGTAAGGTATCTCATTTAGCCTGTCATTACTTTATCATTCCCTTGTTGCTAAATTGTTTTTTGCTCTATTCACTTCCAGATAACAGGCACAAATATTCCCTAAGTCAAGCTGATTCCTGCTAAAGTAAGTCTCCAAATGAAAGCTCAACAAAATATGCTGGTGCACCTATCAGTTATAAATATAGATCATTTTTAGCTGCCATAGCCTGATATTGTTCATAAAGTAGCTGTTACCGTACATGTTTGCTTTCTTAATTCCATAGCAATTTAAACCACAGAAAAGCTGGCACAAAAAGACAAAATATTTTTTGCTTTGTATCCTGCAGTCACAACTAAGATTACTCCAAATACTATAATTATAACATTGCTACTGCCTGAAGCAGCAAGTCGTGTATGAGTTGTTACCTTCATATATCAACAGTGAACACTGAGCACTTAGAATAAATGCCATGGGACATGAACTATCAGACAAGGCAAAAGAAAATATTGTAGAAAGATTTTACATTGCAGCCCCTGTGCTCATTCTGCCCTGAAACAGCCTAGCATTGCCTCTAGCAAGGCTCTCTCCTTTCCTGCTCTTTGTTTTAAGCTGTAAATGAGAGCAGTGAAACCCTCAAAGTTCAGCTCCTGCTGCCCACCCAAGCCCTTTCCCGGCCTCCTCCCACTCTTGTGCAGCCGACACTTGCAAAACGTTCCTGCAACTACCCAGGACTCCGCATGGAGCTACCGTGCAAAAGCTTGGTACGATTACTCAAATGCCTTATTAATAAAAGTCATTTTTCTATTGCCTCACAAGCACCTAAGGCAATAAAACAGAAAAAACAAACAAACAAAAACAACATGTAGGAATAATCAGCTTAGGCAACATCTTAAACATGCTGTTTAAGATTGTAACTCCTGTATGTATCACTGTCATTCAGATGATATCAAAGCTTTCCCCACTAAGAAAAGATAGTATTTTCACAGTCAAGTGAAAATTATAAACTGAAGGGGATTCGGTCAAAGATCTGACTATTTTCAGAAGAAAATCAATAATAATTTGTAATCAATTTTGCAAAGTTGTCACAAAACAGAAAATATAAATAAGACAATATTTCTGAAATTACTTTCTTACAGTCTCAGTGGCTACAGTCTCAATGGTCTTTAAGCTGTAGATACCAAAATGAAAGATATCTGCATTAAAAACATTTGTCTCTATTCTCTGAAGAAAAAAATCTAACATATTTTTAAAGTTTCTGTGCAAAGCTCAATACACAGCTCAACAACAATACAGCTCAACAACTATAGAGGACAACTGCTAAGAAGTTGTAGAGTCTCAGGACAGTTTAGTATATGGTTTGTATTTTGATCTAATCATATCTAAAATCTAATTTGTTCAAAGAGACATGAAAAATTTCAAAAGACCTCTGAGTTCAGAAGTCTTTTAAGTTTTCTCTTACTCAGATGAAACTCTTACAAATCGATGCATATTAAAGGCAAACAGAAAATAGCTTTATAGCCAACATGTCAGAAATCACCTAATATGCATGCTTGAAATTTATAAAGATACCTGAGCCAACTGATTTTGTTAGAATCTATTTCATAAGAAAGAATACATGGAGTTTCAGGAGGACACACACATCAGAGAACAGAGACAGCAGAGAACAGAACAACTTTGCTTAATGTAAATGTAATTCTAGCATAAAAAAACTTTTCGACTTGCCATTACTAAAGCCATAGAATTGCTGAGGATTGCTCATTGAAATCCAAAGCCAAGCTAGTATTTCTATGATGATTTCTCAAATGTACTATTTTTCCACATCTGCCTGTCTACTCTGTAAGATGGAAAAGGTCATGGGAGCTGCATGGTATGGTTTGAAGAAAAAGACTAACAGTATATCATTAAAAAGTTGCTTCCAGATCTATTACTTGATAGAGTACAAGAAATTCCATGACAAGAACCACTGGAATTTCATTTGGGGTCTTGATGTGACCAAGGACTTGATGGGATGCAAAGGAGCACAGTGGACAGAAATGGATGGAGCCAGAAAATACACAAAAGCAGGATAAAAAAGGTCCACATGAAAGCTGAAACCAGGGGGTTGGGGTTTTAAGAAAGGCTTAAGAGATGAAATAAAAAAGAACAGAAAGGGAATCAAATGTGAAGAGATAATGTAATGAAAAACAAATGTGACACACTATGAATATGCGGAAAACAGTGAGAGTAGAGGACGTTGACAATACTATAAAGACTGAACAATGGAAGTCTAGCTAAAGGCACAAGGAGACAGGCTGCAGCAGAAGCGTGGCTCACCTCACAAGCAAGGAGAGTGTAAATGAAGACTTGTTTCACTCATCCAGAGCAGAAGCACACCAGTGTAAGGGTGAATTTGGAACCACAAATTGTGGCACTTTGTTAGGAACAGTTAGAGATTCCCTTCCTGGAGAGGGAAGAAAGGAAGGAAAAAAAAAGAACAGGCACATGATAATTATCTTTTATAATCTTTCAAATAATTTTTAATGCTGAGATGGTTTGAAGCTATGTTGTGCAACACTCCACTCCTTGCAGCATAGCTGTGTGGTTTCAGGAAAGGAATGGACCAAGAGAGGAAAGATTTGCACCATCTAGATGTAGATGGCTGTAGGGGTTGCTGAGCCACTATTCACTAGGGTGTGTAAAGGAATGACACATTGCTACAGCATCACAATTACAGGTAATTAGCTTTTCCTTTACATATGCTGGAGGTACTGCACGTCTTCACATTAGAACTGTAATTAGCAATCCGGTTCTTCCTAAGGGAGATGAATGTGCCCTGCAAAGTGAGACACTGCCATTCCACCTTGTGTCACATCTGTAAGTCCCCTTGCTTTGGAGGAAGGTGTCAGAATCTCTCTCATTAGATGGCATTATGCCATTTCTGCTGAGATTTGCCAAGCAGAAATGCATGTGTGCATGCTGCATAGCTCCTGCATGGTGCACCTGATATTTCAAAGATAGCACGTTACCCTCTTGAGCTGACATCTGCAGCACATGCTTTTCAGCTGCACAGGCAGGCTCAATCAGTAGGCATTGTAGAGAGCTCAGCAAAGTGCCCTGTTTCTCAGTAGTCTGTGCAAGAAAATGAATCATTATTAGAAAACCCTATCATTACAGGTTACATCGAAACCAAATATACCAATAATAAAACAACAACATGCACATTAAAGAACCAGCTACAAAGCTATAACATTACCTATTCAAGGATTCTGAAGTCTAACATCAAAATTTGTCTGCTCATAATAATACTTGCATGGTTGCAGGAATGGAAAGTTAGTTACATTATAATGGCTTAATCATTTATAAAGTTACGTAATAAAAAGCTAAGGTTTTTTGAATGGTTAATTGTTCTTTCCTTAAAAATTCTGCTCCCAGAGGCACACAATGATGTAGAATTCCCAGCTCCCATTCAAAGACACTTCCTCAGACTCACAGTTGTAGACTAGAAACTTGTAAACTGCAACCTCCTTGTGATCCTGGAGGGCTCATCCTTGGTTTTGAATGCTACAGACTGGCTATTCTGCATTGCCTGTAAAAGCAAAGACTGTTTAGATTTCCCCTCGCTACTGACTTCCCACTTTTGATTCTACTGTGCTTTCTATTATGTTCAATTATGAATACCTGCAGGACAGATGTTGAAAAGTTTGTAAGTTTGTGTCTATCAGTCACTAGAGATGAAAAGATATTTATGTAGAGATTAGAGTGTTCCCCACTCTGGAACAATCCTTTTTTTTTTTTTTTTCTTCTTTTTAATCTTTTTTTATCTCAAGCCATGAAATTTATTTTGTTAATTGCCTTTGGGGAGATTTAGCCTCTTCCTTACACCCAAGGAAACATCACTAGTAAATCTCACTAACTTAGTACTTGACATTGCTTCACCAAGAAGCAATACCTTTACTGTTGATTCAGATAACAAGCAGCAAAGCAGCAAGCCATACCTTTTTTTAAGGCAGATCTCCACACATCAAGCTAGAAAATATTTTGTTACCAAGCCTCTAGCCACCTCGTAATTCTGAACTGCTGAAGACTGTATTGTTCATCATCATCTTCAAAAGAAAAAGAATTCCCCAAGTATCCTTAACTTAGCCAAGTTTTTTCCATGCAATAAAAAAAAAAAACATCTGAAAACGTGGCTGATAGATGGAACAGCTCCTGCTTTGCATAAACTGTGTGAAGGATACTGCAAGTCCAGTCATTTTGCGTTAATAGCTTTGTTAAAAAATATCTTTAACAGGTAAGGTTCCTCCAAACATGATCCAAATACACTCACAGCCTAGCACAATTCCTAGAGGTAGACAGGGTACTCAAGGGTGTCTCAAATGGCCCTATGTACCCATGTTTGAATACTTTCTTCTCATGGTATCAACGAACTGAGTACTGGGTCCTTGGGTATGCTCCTTGATAAACTCTTCATCTTGTCCAATGTCCCACAGGCAGCAGACACCTAAGATTCTGGATTATAGAAGATATGGGAGGAATATTAGTAACAGAAATTCTTTGTCCTAACAGAAAAAACGTTCTCTCAAATTCCCTCTAAGGTAAGTTGTCATCTAAGGGAGAAAAAACATTTTGAGCTCGGGTTGGATATGCACGCCCTACATGCATATAAACCATTTATTTATGATTATATCCATTAGTGCTTTACAGCTGGCATACAATTTAAGTACATTTGTCAAAAATAATCATCTAGCTGGGGCTTTGATTCTAATTTCAAATAAATAAATTCCATGGTTGTAAATCCCTCCAGCCCCAAATGAAAATTACAGAGTGAAACCCAGCTGGCAGAGACGCCCTGCCAGAGCTGACCTGCCTGTGCTGCAGCTGAGCGCGGGGGAAAGGTGTCACACGCATGGGACAGTGCGGCGGGCCACGCTCCCCTGCGCTGCGATAGGGAGCCTGGCGGCTGCCAGAGAGAACCCAACGTGTCGCTTCTCCCCTGATCTTCTGGGGATGGAGCTGTACCACACCAGGCTGGACAGAAAGCAGAGACACAAAAATCAGGGTGGCTCCTAAGCTGGTGCTTTTTTGGAACACAAAAGCTTTCTTATAAACTCTAAAAGCTTGGTGCTCACTCTACGGACCAGGTAAACTTTTTATGCTGCATACTGCCCATTAGGCTAAGGGTCAGTCTAACACCAGAGGAACTCAATTACACAGAATATTGGTACTCATCTTCATCATTTGAAAATGATACTATTTTAAAAAATCATTCTAATTTTGCAATAATCAACAATCCCTTATCAAAATGCAAAGACAGTAACAGTCCAGCAATAGCAGAGAACCATGCAGCAGTTTTATTCCACGGCTTAAGGGCAGATGGTCAGACTGTTTCCCCAAGGATGTAAAGCTCAGGTGGCTACACTTGCTGCATTTATGCACACACATTCCCTAGAAATCTTTTGAACCCCTTGGTCAGTTTATCAACAGCACCATAGCTCTCCTCAACATAATCAGAGCTTTGTCTGTTTTATGAAATAAATATAACCAAGTAGAAGAAAGAGACTGTGCTAGTGCCTGAGTAAGAACGGCTGCAGCATGTACTCACATTTTTCGCAGCATAAGAGTACACCAAAGGGGAATAGAGGTTGAATTTCCAATTCAACCATTGGAAATGTTTAATCAGATTGCAGATTACAGTTTGCAATCAACTGTAGGGCAGAAACTGTCAGGAAAAGACCATTTGCTATATCTAGTTTTCAGTGAACAATTTATTTCCTATTTAGGAAAAAAAATCTGATTCATGATCAACTGTAAATTTTAATGGTATTGTCAGATCCAAGAATCTGCTTGCCTGTCCAAAAATACATTTATATAGTTCTCAATTATTTATTTCTCTCTTTTTTTTTTTTTTTTAAGGAAAAACTTTTCAATGGTTTAATGGTTACTGGGATTCCTTTCTTTTAAGTCTTTGGCAATACGCCTCATAATCAGGAACTTTTTGTCTTTATGGCATAGACAAATCTATTATTCCCTTAGACAGACAAGTAAGGATTTTAGCCATGATTTTTATATATTTACCACATAATTGTCAAAAATCAGAATAAATGGTCAGTTAATAGGAATGTGATTTTCACCCACTTCAGATACATGCTTTAGAAGATGTTCAGACAACTATTAGGGACAGCCCCTGCATAAAACCCTTACAGTTGCAGGTGGCAGCTGTGCAACAAAGAAAAGAAAAAGCAAAACAAAAAACACCCTAGGGGTTGAAATGAGTTGGCCAGAATCTCACAGCAGTGGGGAGTGGTTCAGTGTCCTATTCACTAGACTCAGACACAATTCATTTTAATGCATAGGGATGAGCTAAGTGAGACTGAGCATCGTAAGTGCAGAGTCACTCAAGCTGAGCGATGCCTGTGCAGGGCTGGGGCATCCGGAGGAGAGAGACCTGCTGCAGCTGCACAGGTTCAGGTTCATGACTCTCACCTAGGCCCACACGAGCACAGCTAGCAGAGCCTGGTCTGCACTAGTAACTCTTTAGGCTGCTATGCTTCTTTGTATGGGATGCAACAAGCTCAGCTCAGAATTAGTGTGGGGATCACTGCATCACAACCACATGCCCAATTTCTGCTTGCTTTCCAAAGGGAAGAACAAGAATTCAGCAAAGCAGACTTGCTTCCCCTCTGACACTGGAGCTACTCTGCCATAGACTGACCGACCCACCAGCCAAGAGAGTGGAGCAACAAGGCACCCCTGCTGCTGGACTCATCACGTTCCAATGAGGATCTGGGGAATTTGCTACATTTCGGGTGGTGTCTGCTATCTTTTTCCAGCTGGGATATAACTCTGCAAAAGGATCTTCCTTACTCAAGGCACTTCACAAAATGTTTCCAAGGCAGAGCTCATCCTGATTATCAAACGACACAGATTTCCTGAGTGATGGTAAGAACTATGCCCATGTCTTGTGCTACTTGGGTTACTGTAATTTGGCTGAAAACAGTCCAAAAGCTCCATGTGTGTTATTTCTTTGCATTTTTGTAAAACTATGTGGCAAACTCTAAACCTTTAGAAGCAATCTTTATCCTCTATGAGATGTTAGTAAAACAGAAGGCATTCTCATGACTCTTCATAGAGTTTTGAAAGGCATCACTTTGGCATCAGAAGACCAATCTTATGTTTATATAAAGGAAAACTTGCATTGCAGACACATAGACTATACTGCATTATGCAGCTTTGTTATTTAAAGTGTACTTTCTACATTTCTACAGATAAGGTTGAAACATATTGATAGCCTTTTGTTTTCCCTGCAAGAGATCAAATCACTATTCTAACACCCAAGTGCAAAATAATCACCATAGTTTCATAATTATATATATTATTATTTTTATGGTAGAGCAATAAATGTCAGAAAAATCACTTTGGTCGCCTGCAGTAGAGCAGCTTATTGTTTTAGTAACGATGTCTTCCGTTTAAAAAAAAAAAAAAGGAATCAGAAAAGAATTTCAAAACAAGTACCCACCAGGCAAATGAAGAAAAAAAATCCAAATGTTTCACTGTTTGGAAAGACAGGGTTATGATTGTACAATATGCTGACCTAGCAGAAATTTTTGAAGAGTCACTTCTAATGCATGAAAGATTCAGCAAAACAAGGTGGAGAGGATTCCTTTTTGTAAGACCATTTTTCATAGGAGGCAGACAAGGAGAAAGGCGCCCACCGGCAGAGACAACCACCTGTCCTAGCTGCCCAGCCTAGCCCTGGTTCAGTGTCCTTAACCTCAGCCCAGCTCCAAGGTGTGTCAACCAGTTTGAACAGAGGATGGAGACTTTGGTAGCACCATCTCTAACCCCTCAGCAGCCTCTTTCTGCTTCGAGAGCAAACCCATTACTTTAAATCTTAGCTCTAAGAAGAACTTGCTCACAGACCCCCAGTCCCACCCTTCACTGGGTAGCTGCTACTGATACCAACACAAAACTTACCTGAGTACCTGCCTCGTCCCAAGGCTGACTAGCTCCTAGGTCCATACTTTCCAGTTCTGCTTGGTGCCCCCTCAGCAGTACTGATCAGTATAGCTGAGCAAGTGGAGCTTAACCCTGGTGTTAATTCTAGTTCTTCTGGCAGAGGATTTGAGCCCATGCTTGAGACTTTTGCTGTACATCAAGTCTACAAGGAGGAAAAAAAAAAAAAAAAAGAAAACAAAACACTATTTAATTCAGCTTTCTGTGGATGTGTGAATTTTCTTCTAATTGAAACTACTTCATATGAAGGTGAGGAAATACACTGCATACATTGCTAGAAAGGTATCACAAAGATTAAAATATACCTGTGAATCTGAGGCAAAACAGTTTTGAATAATATGCAGAACTTAGGAATTGCAACAGAGACTTCATCCACCCTCAGAGGTTAAGAAATCCCATTTTACATAAATTTCACAATCACTGTCATCAGCCAGAAAGTAATTTGGAAACAAATTTTTATATTCAGAAGTTGTTGTTCTCCTGGGCTATGGAACAAAGAGTCCAGGGCTGTTTTTCCTAGTTTTTAAGCTGTCCCTTCTATGGGTGTTAGCTGTGAAAGTCCTGGGCAAGAGTGCAGCATTGCCTGGGCCATTTCCAGACATGGTGCCAGCAGTGTGAGCAAGAGGGGCCTGCAGCCCTCTCCATCCCTCCCAAGCCCTTTTTTTGACATCTTACCTTTGTTTCATGAAATATTCATAATTATAGAAGTGCTAAGTCCAAACTCTATTACTCATCACCTAAGAATACCCTGCCACTTAATCCAGTTGCTGGAAACCCTCCAGGCAAGCCCATATTACTTAACTTGTTTATGAGCATCAAATACCTTTTTTGCAGGCCTGGCAGATCGCAAGAGAATCTCTCACTCAAGCAGCACAAGTTCTCACTAGTGCTTTATTTCTTCTGCTTGGTTCAGTTTGCGTGTGGACCTCACCCCCAGGCCTCGCTTTGCTGCTTGCAGCTGTCAGCACTCTTGGGCATGACCCACCACTGTGGGACCACAGTCAGATGCAGGGGGACTCTGTTCACCTCCCACCCCAGCCATTCTTCTTGGTTCTTACTGTCCTTTTCTCACTTTCAAGAAACTACTTCTTGCACCAGGATGGAATGGTTTCTTTTAAAACCATGCAAGTGCCTGGAAGAGTTCCTTCTGTTTCTGCTTTGTGTGCGTGCTTCCTTAGAAGGAGCTGGCAAGTTACACAAAAGCAAGTCTGTCTCTCAATAAAGCACATCTTCCTGTAAAGCTTCTCCTATACATGCTCAAAATAGACAAATATTTCTGATAACTACACACACTAGCTGGGTGAAGAAGCCAAAAGGACACATCTGATACATAAGAATGCTACACTGAGCTGCTTGCATGTCCCCTTCTTCAGTCACTTTCATGCATAGCCTTGTCCAACTCCAGGAGTGGTCTGGAATGGGAAGAACAGCAGAGTCAACAATGCACTGACTTCACATGAGGGCTAGACCGACCAGTTTACAGTTCATCTGAGTATGTCCACACTTGCAAAGCCACAGCCACACCTGACAGCAACATCTCCCCATTTAAATATTTCCATTGAAGCTTGTCAACCTAAAGGCATGTGCCTAACACACACTCACACTTGTACATTTTTCCCCCCAATTCAAACACCTACTTCATACACTTGCTAGTAGTAACCTGCAATGATTTTATCCATTAGCTTACTATTTCATCCTCTAGCTTTATCCACTATTGTTATTTATTTATTGTTATTTACCATTTCTTATTTATGGTATTGTATCATTTGGAGTTTGCCCTTCTGCTTTCTCTGGAACATACCATAAAGAATGCAATGGAGAGCAAGTTAATATCACTTCTTAGTGAGTTAGAATGGCAAGAGGTGTTCAGAGGCATATATATATATATATTTAAAAATTTCACTCTTGGATTTCAAGAAGATGAAAGACATCTGGACTTTAAAAAGAAGAAACGTGGTTTTCTTAAGATGAAAGACATTATAAATATATAGAAGGATGATTCCAAAGAAATTCCACAAGCAGACTTAATATTTGGAAATACATTCCTCATTAACACTTTGAAAATCATTTCCTCTCTTAAATCTCTGACAGAACCTGAATGTAGACCTTCCTATTTCTCATAAAAGCACTATTAGCAAATATCAATAGGAACGGGTCTTCTCATGACACTTACTTTTATATTTCTGTCTTCTCTGTATATAACAGAGACAATATTTTCTTAGTATATTTCAAACAAAGCTGATCCTAACCAGAGCCGGTACTGCAAGAAGAAAGCATGCACACTGGCAAAAATATAAATATCAAAGCCTATTCAAAACCTTGAAAAACATTTATTTCAGCATGTAAACTGATCTAGTCTATGCAGAACAGTATCAACGAGACATTAATAGTTGGAGTAACAAGTGGAGGGAACTTGAGCCAGGAAGAATAGTGCCAAGTTTTAAAACTACCAAGTTGCAATAAACACAGCACAAAGTTCTAGGGCTTCATACCAGAATATACAAGGAAGAAAAAGAAAACAGGAGAAAAAAAAACTTTTGATCCTACTTTTGCAAAGTTTGCATTATAGCGATAGCCAGATTTCTAGTTCAGTTTTCATAGTTGCATTATGCTTGCAGTCTTCAAAAAATAGAGCTTCACATAGGTCTCTCTCTTGAAAACCTTACAATCTACTCAGATTTACCTAATTTCTGTTGCTGGTCAGTATTTGCTAACTCCCAGGATATTTGAGACCACTGAGCCAGGTGGCCATAACAATTAGGTTTCCTAACCCCTGACTCCATAGAGATTATGGAAAAGTATTCCAATTTCTTAACTACAGAATAATCATTTTATTCTATGGATACATCAGGATTTAAATGAAAATCTCCTAAAACAGCTCCTGAACACCACAGAATTATGGAACAGCAACATGAACATTTAGAGAATAAAAGAAAAATGCATGCAGTAATGCCTATGGGAGTATCAGAGAGCTGGAGTGCATGCCAACCTTTCCACATAGCACAAGAAACTTGAATTGGCAGGTGGTAATAAAAGAGAAAATTGTTCCAAGTTTACTAACAGGTTCTCTAGATAATGTCTATAGACATGTTTGTTTTTAAAACTTGTGGTCCTGCTCTAACACTCCTGTGAGTTTGGTATTCTCCTTAAAATTCCAGCACGCTGTGATACTGAGAAGAGTTTTGCTAGAGCTGCGATAACTAAGGAAATGAAAGACACCAGCTTGGCAAGTGAAAGGAGTCGCCTATTTCTCATGTTACTCTAGGGAGAAGCTGAACTGCCAGCAGATAGAATGAGGAATAGGAAAGAAACAGATGGTTATTGTCTAGGTTTTGTGTGACTAGAGAAAAATAATCTACGATCAGCATTTTACTATTTTCTTTACCCAGCACTGCTTTTAAACACCAGTTTAAAAACAGTTTCAGAAATTGAATTTCCATTCTTCCGTAATCTCAGTGTAGGTGAAAGGATGACTCACCTAGATTGGATTGTTTTGGACAACCAGAGAGACATGGAAAAATGGCAAGTGCGGGAACAAGATGACAGTAACTTGAGATCAAATGAAAAGAGGCAGAAGTTTTGCAAAAGGAAGTTTTTACAATGATTGTTCCTGCTACTAGAAAAGAAGCAAAATATTAAAACAATCCACAGATTATATCAGAATATAGTGTTAGGAAATTAGTAAATTGTACATTTGTTCTGTGAAAATTTAAAAAAATCTTATTTAGGGAGGAACTTATTATTATTATTAGAGAGTCTTATTACAAAGACTTGTTGACCTGAGAAGGGTGAAAAAAAAAGTATATTTCTTATCTAGTCCAGTCCAACTTCGAGATCTATCATGAGAACAGCAGATGTTCAAACGTGGGCTGTAGATATTTGTCTGTATTAGAAAGAACAAATGTTAAGCAAAGTTTTCCTTTCTCTGCCTTCATCCTACTGAGTGGATGAGTCACGCAGTTTTGTAGAAATTGTATGAGGCAACTATAAATATGTCCCTTATTTGGGCTCCTAAGTTGTTAACTTAATAATAAATAATTCAATTACTTATTTTCAATTATCTTTTCCAGTTAACTTATCCGATAATTTGTTTTTCTCCGCTTTGGAAACTTAGCTGTGATTGATTTAGTTATGAGTTACCTAATAACAGTGTTCCCCACATTAGCCAGAAATGTTTCCCAATTTATCTACATATCAAATATGTGTCATTGTAATGCAAGTGGCTTTTTTGGAAGAGCGAATAAGTTTCTTTCTCCAAAAGAAATGCTGCTTTCCTTGGATTCACTGATACTTCTCACCCTGGTGAACAGCATTATCCCAATCCAAACCTTAGCAGAGCATCCAGGTTGCTGCCAAATTTCTTCACATATGTTCTTAGAGTAAACTTTGTTCAGTTTAATTAACAAATAAGAGGGTACAAAATCAGCTCCCTTCAGTACTAGGCAGCACTTCTCTTACCTGAAAGAGATGAGACCTGCCTGAGTTTTAAGTGCAGAGCAGTCCTGCAGATAATATGGCTGTTTGCTGCTGTAACACCCTTGTTTCAGGGAGTTGCTTGTTCAGAACTCAAAAGTATGAAGAGTTGTGGAACCCGAGGTATTTATAAATATCTTAAGTTGCTCAGTAGGATTATCTGGTGGTGCAGGGAATGCATGGCTCATAGCAGAACAATTTCTAGATTATCAACATTAACAGGTTAGATAAGATTCCTTTACTTAACCCACTCTAAGTACTCTACCTACTACTGTTTGCTCTTCGAGTCTCTTCTTTGTGTGCATAGCAACACACCTCACAACTGACAGAAATTAAGGCAAGCTTATTTTTCCCTTTGTATTTCTGCAAATTTATTTTCCTTCTGATCATCAGCCAACAGCTACCTTCTGCTGGCACTATCGCTTCATCTGAAAGAATGAGCAGGGCTCAGTCCCCTGTGATGGACTATGATATCCTCAGGTCCCCCTATAACTACTGGAGGATCGTTGCTTCATCCCTCAAAAGAGCACTTAATTCCATCTCAGCAGCTGTTCCAAGAGCCCCAAAACTCTGCAGTCTGTCTTCTGTCGGGCCTTCCATTAAAGCACTGCATCTTTCTGTGCTTTACTTCATACTGTCACTTCTGTTCTCATCAAAGATGCTCCATATGCT